ACCTAAAATAGTAGGTCGATCATGTACATGATTCAAAGAATAGCATAATGGTAAGTATAAATAAATAAGTTAATAACAACCAATCAATCCCTCTCTGCCTCTTCTTCATGGGCTCCGTTCGTCGCCACGTGACACTATCACAGCCATGTATGGAGTTAGAGAGAGACGCTTCAACCAATCACAAGATTCCATTCGAACGAGCTAGTGGAGCCCAATTTCTCCGTTTAGCACGCTCAGTAGTATCTTAACTGGACCCCACCTCACCATTTTGATTTTTGAGTAACCAAAGACATTGCGACGAGCCGTTCAGATGATCACACGTGTCCTACTGTAACCCCATGTCATCAATTTTAATCGAATCGCTCCACCACTCCTCCAAAGCGTCCCGGATTATGCACCGTTAGATTTTAGCAGTCAAGCTTATAGCCGTCAGATTGAAAATTTCTCATCCCCTTTGGATCCCACATTTAGAGAATTAACATTTAATTAAAAAAAATTTTCCTATAATAACGAATAACCTTACCATTTTTTTATTGCTGAAATAACTAATTCTGGATATATTATTCAGAATAGCTAGACTCTGCCGAAACATTAGCAGAGTCTGCGTATTTCTAGATATTGGCAGAGTCTGCCAATACATCGGTAGAGTCTACCAATATTTCCGCAGAGTCTGCCAGTGATTCGGCAAAGTCTGCTAATACCTCGGTTGAGTCTGCCAATATCTCGGCGGAGTCTGTCAATGTGTCAATGTTTCGGCAGAGTCTGTCAATGTTTTGGTAGAGTTTGCGTATTTTTAGATATTGTCAGAGTCTGTCAATACATCGTTAGAGTCTGCCAATACCTCGACAGAGTCTGCGAAGGACAATTTGGTATTATGAAAGAAAAAAAATCTAGAATATGTTATTTCAGCAATAAAAAAATAGTAAGGTTATTCTAACTATTTTTTTAATAAAGTAGGTTATTTTAGCTAATCTCCCTTTAATTAATTCTAAATATTAGCGCAGGACGCAGAACGGATATCCGGAAAAATGCAATATTTATGATTTAATTTATTTTTTCCGAATATATAATTCTCCAATTTGTTTTGCTTTGAAAATTTTCGGATATTTGAAATTACAGATATCCAGATTTTTTTCGGATATTCACGGATATCAGTTTTAAATAAAATAACATAATCAAAAACATCGTAATTTATTTTAAAAAATTATTTTCATATAATATTTAAACTAACTAATGAATAAATATAAAAAATTCTAATTTTATTCGATAGAACTAAAGAAATATTTTTATCTAAATATTAAAATATAATTCAACTAAAAAGATAGTATCTATCTATTTTTACTATAACTCTTTTTGTCAAATGTATTAAAAGTCTAAAATGTAGATATACTCTATAAATTATATGTATATATAAGTAATATACAGATCGGAGAGAAAATTTGGATTTTTAAAATTAGTATTTCTGATAATTGCTACGGTTTAGATGGATACTAAATTTTACTATTTATTTTGCTTTCGTTCATAACGGATTATATCTGGATTTTCGGATCAATAACGGATCGGAGCGAATTTAACGGATAATTTGCCCCGCTTTACTAAACATTAATCACGGCTCTAAATCCTATAAAACCATACCTTGGTTTCTCACAAACAATCACTCAGCAACACACAAAGCATTACAAAGACAAA